CCCGCCGGTCTCCATCCCTCACTCCCCGAGCCTCCTTCCTCCCACTGCCTACCTCCCCTCTCCCTCCCCGAACCTCCTTCCGAAGCTCCCGGCGTGGAAGGAAGGACAAACCCGGAAGAGAGAGAGAGAGAGAGAGAGAGAGAGAGAGAGAGAGAGAGAGAGAGAGAGAGAGACTGACCTGCTTCTTGGACGTTGGCGGCGACTGGCTGGTTCGTTGGCGAGGGCTGGACGTTGGCGGCGACTGGCTGGTTCGTTGGCGAGGGCTAGACGTTGGCGGCGGCTGGCTGTTTCGTCGTCAACGGCAGCTTCCTTGTGGATGGCTGCGGGGCTGCAGGGGGGACGTGACGGGCGGCAGCTGGCGGCTTCCAAACAGCGTGCCCGCGAGATTCAAAAACGGCCAGTTTGAAACTGCTGGCCCTGCCTCCCGCCACCCCACCTGAGTCTGCACAGACTGTGGTGGGTCCGGCCTTCGACCCATGTCCGGTAGGGCGAAAAGACACAAAAATCGGCCCAGTATTTTTCCGGGGCCGCCGAGGACCCGAAAAATGTCCTTGGCGGCCCCTTTTTTTTTTCTGATTTTTCGTTGGGGGGCCCGGTTCCGGACGTCCAGGACCGGACACCGGCCCCCTACATAATGTTTGGGGGTGTCTGGAAACCGGTCCAGACGTCCGGTCGGTTACCATGGTATAGACTGAGTGGTTATAGTCTCCTTGCACCTTCTTTTCCATATTATCCAAATTGTAAGAGGTCGCAGTCTCCGAAAGAAGGTCTTTTGCCACGCCACAGCTAAATTTGGCTCCTGCATTCCAGTTAGCCATGTAATGCTGCTGCTTGGTAGGGGTGTTCCTGTTAGAGAAACCCACAAAGATTCTGTTTGGTTGGAAAGGCTTTCCATTCGGCTGCTGCTTTGTTTTTTTTTTTCCCAGCGCAGAGGTGAGCAGTTCGAATCCCGAATCCCGAATCTTCGTGGCGCTTCTTTTTTTTTTTTTTCTCTGTTTCCCCGGTTTTGTTGTTTTGTGTTCCATTGGTGCTTTGTGATGGCCCGTGGTTCTGTCGTTTTGTACGTGGATTTCAGTGTTGGAGAGGATCTCGAATCCAGCCAACCGGCCTTTTTCCACTAGCCTTGGCCTCTCTGATCTACTTACGGAAACACCAAAAACATGGCGCAGTACATTTCCACGACCCAGGGGGAAATTCATTATAACGACTTTCCAATTCTGGCCGCAGTTCTTTTTGCCGCCCTCTCAGAATTGACCATTCGTGTTTCATCCCCAGTGTTGGAAAGCAGGCCACGGGCGCTTGCAACGACTTTCCAATTCTGGCCGTGGTTCTGTGCTCGGGATACAGAAACTTGGTGGAGGAAAGCTCAGGCCATAATAGCCCAAAACAATCAGGTCAACCCCACTAACGGAACACAGAATAACCCTACGATCTACCAGGAATAACAAAAAGAACCACCAGAGCACCACTCTATCCCCCGTAGGATTTCTAAATGGCTATACCGACAAGACCAGATACGACCTACAAGGGTTGGGAGGGGAGATAGGGTTTAGGGTTTTAGTAAGGAAGACATCAAATACAGCCCAACAGAGCACGGCCCATACAGATTTCCACCATAGGAGGATACATCAGCAGTTTCCGCACTAGAAAAAATCTAGAAACACGGACAGAGGTAGAGAGAGAGAGTAAGGGGTTAGGGTTTAGCGTGTAAGGCATAGGCCTTAGAAGCTATCAACAACTTCAGATTTACAGAAAAATTCAAAACATTATCAATGCCAGAACCCCTAAGGTTTTGTCTACTTAGCAAAAACAACAGTTAATGAGTCAGGCCAGCAACTTCAGCACTTAAATCTGTTCCGACAGCCGAGCAGCTGAGAGGAGTAAGATTGTCAACACCTACGCAGACACACCACAAATCACAAACAGAAGTTGCAGCAGAAGCCAGCCTACCCACAGTGTCAGGTTCTGAGTCAAGCAGGCTAACTTAGGCAGGGTTGAGGGGGGTTGCATCCTTCCAAAAGGAAGTACTCAATGCCGTCCTCTCGGGCCTCCCAGCCATAATGGTGAGGAGCATATGTGTATCCTTATTGAATTCATCATTGACTTGCCGGGGGAATAGGAACCGGACTGTTGCTCCCCAGAATCTTAGGAGCCAGAACCATGAGGTTCTGTTTTCTTTATTCGCAACCCTAAGGCTGCGGTCTACTGGGGTTCGGCGTCTGTGTCAAGGGGTCGCATTTTTGGCGGCTGGCGACCAGGAAGCAAAGGGGGTTCTTAGGGGGCAAAAAAATTTGGGGAACCGGTCCTTGCCAAAATTGCGGACTACCTACAGCTAGCTCTGGTAGAACCGGGACTTTTGGAAAAGGAAGGACCGGTCCTCGGGTGGAAGTGGACCCCAAAAAGAAGTGGGGGACGTTGGACGGGTCCACGGGTGGAACCAGACCCCAAAACAAAGGGCCCTCAGGCCCAGGCGTTGAGGCCCGTCTTCTCAAAACAGGGAGGTCAGGCGCAACGGAAACAGGCATTTTGCAAGAGGCACCTTTGGCGATTTTTTGTGCTCGGAGGAACCCGCAGAAAAATCTGAAATTTTGAGAATCCATAGATGAGGTCATGTTCTTTCTAGGAAAAATATTGAACATTTAAAAAAACATCATTTAGACCAAGAAATAATCGACGTGCAGATTCGGCACATCGGAAATAAAAAAGTAACTTCTAAATATTGGGTCAAAAGTTCCACTGCAACAGTTGCCCATTCACCCGTCCAGTTCCATTTTTGCCACTCAGCCATGTGTGGGCCAACTTAAAAAGTACTCCAAATTCAGTGAGTTTTCACTCTCAGAAGAATGCGTGAAAAAACCTGGAAATTGGAGTATCGTAGATTTTGTTGTGATCTTTCCAGTAAAAACGCTAAATAGATTTTAAAAATCATTCCAACTG